CCCCCCCCCCCCCCCGCCATGGAAACAAAAAATGCCTCAAATGTCCCCTGAAGGGCAAAACCACCCCAACTTGGAACCACTACAGTAAACAAAGTAGGTTTTCCCTAAAATGAGAGAGGGAGGAAGGAAGTTTGACCATATCTCTCCAATTTCCAACATCAGGATTCTTTGATATAGTTTCAAATTGTAAAACTGACATTGTTATTGGGAGGCAAGTTAATATCCCCAAATTCTCTATTAGGATTTAGATTCCAATTTTTTAAAAAAAATTATCTTCCATATTCCGAATCAATAAAAACTACACACAATAAATCCCATAAACTAAAAAATATAAAGCTTTTATGCTGAGAACAAAGAGATTTGAGCTGAATCATACAAATATTACTTGCTGTAAGCCAGGAAATGGTGCACTGCAAATATACATTATTTGCAACCAAAGTCTATGGTAATTCCACAAAGTTGCCACACTGGACTTTGAAACAACAGATCTGGAAGGAAATATATCAAATGTGCTTCACCAACAGGAAGATATAAAACTGTTGGAAAAAAGTGTTACTGGTTTCCTTCCTTTGAAGTTCCTACTGCATTTCCACAATTGACTTTGTTAGGGCCTTAATTGTACCCCTCTACTCCCAAATATATATGTCAACATCTTAACACCCATTACCTCATCATGTGGCTGTGTTTAGAGATAAGGACTTTGAATAAATAATTAAGTCAAAATGAGGTCGTTACATGGGCCCTAATTGAATATGATTGGTTTCCTTATAAGAAGAGGTTATTAGGACAGAGACACACATAGAAGGGAGACCTCACGAAGATACAGAGGACATGGCCATCTGCAAGGCCAGGAGAGATGTCAGAAGACACTAAACCACCTGATGCCTAGATCCTGGAACTGTGGCCTCCAGAATTTGAGAAAGTACAATTCAGTTGTTTGAGCCACCTGATCTGTGGTCCTTTGTCACAGCAGCCCTAGCAAACTAATACAGGCACTTTTCCATCTTCCTTCATGGCTGTTAGGTCCTTTGACTTCCTGGTGACCACTTTCCTGCTCACCTACAGGTAATAGCACCACAGGGACTGGATGATTTGGATGGGATTTAATTTTGAGATCATCAATTTGACTCATATTAGGAAAGATTTTATGATTGTAGATATTAGAAGAAAGAGAAGCATGGTAGCTTTGAAAAATGATGGGCACTTAATTAAATGAGAAATAAGACTTTCTCAATGTTCCAAATGCAACTGCAAAGTTGAATCCATTCTTCCCTGAAGATGTTCTGAGGAAATTAACCTATTATCACTTGTGCAGTGACAGAAGTCATTGTCAATTTTAAAATATAACTCCGTTGCTCCTAGCTGTATACCTCATTATTCTCAAGTATCCATAATTTTCTATATCTAAAAGGTAGGGTTAATATAGTGCCTACTGTCTTAGAGTTATTATGAAGCTTAACTGACTTGGTCCATGTATCTGGCTAACAGAAAGCAAATATAAATGTTATCTGTTATCCCTATCACTAATATTAGGTAGTACTTATGCATGTGTTGTATGTTTAATACTATCTTTTCTAGCCTAACTTGCATTGTTTTCTCATACATTGTATTTCAGAAACCTAATTGTGAAATTTAAAGACATATGATTACCCCCAAACATAGATATTCGGTTTAATATAAAAAAATGATCTTTTCCCCCTTAAACTAATATCATTATTGCTTTGGAAAGGGTTAATAAGACTAATTAAAGATACCCTGAATAAGTCAGACTAGGAATATTATATGGCAAGGAAAATTATATTCTAATCAAATATGATATAGTTATAAATTAACCATAAATTCAAATTTTGGACAGATAATATATGTCATCTATAGTAGCAGTTACATATTCCATTAGATGTTACTCTTATTTTATATTGAATAATTAGAATTTAAAAATGGCTGTTGACTCAGCATTGCAAAAATATTTAACAAGTTGGGGGGATTTTGACATTAAGTTTTAAAATGCACTTGCTGTTATAAATATGCACTGGAAATAATTTCATGAACATGCCATGATTTAAAACATTGATGTGAAATTGAAAATGATTTTATTATTATTTAAGTGGCTCAAGTATTAAAATGCATTTTGTATTTATTTAGAATAGCAATTTTTCAACAACCATTTATTTGCATAGTTATTAACACATTCTGAACCACTAAAACTGTCTAATTTTAAAAATGTTTGTATGATTTTTGGCTTTGCATCATTGGAAATACCTGCTAATGGGTAGATTTGTTTCAATATAATGGCTTATACTTATGAAATTTTTTTTTTTATCTTGGTGGATGTAGGCACAGGCCTTGACAATTTTTAAGTGTGGAGAAGAAACCACAGATCATGCCACTGTGGGCCTGAGAAAGAGCCTTTAGAAGTCATTTGGTTAAATCTGTCTTTTTCGATGTGAGGAACTGAGATTCAAGAGATGCTTTGATGTCCCCAAGATGACACAATGACCTTGTTGGACAGAGATCTTGGGCCTAGATTTTCTATCATCACCCTGAATTCTTCAAAACTATGATACAAGTTCCCTTGGGTGACCTCTGCACAGAGACCACATGTGTTCCCATCTTTAAGATGCAAAATGAAATAGAAATGTAAGTGATGCCTCCATTTCTTCAATCCTCAATTCCAAAGGAAACAAATTGCTTTACTCACCTACGGGGAAAAAGTCGCTCATTTTCTTTTTGTAGATTTTGAAATCGACTTCTAAGAAGACACAGAAGATGATTCGGTCCACCTAGAGGCAAATGATAAACACTCAGAGTGAAAGGAAATATGGCCACTGCCTGCCCAGAACATGGACTCAGAGCAAAAATCAGATGGGAAGTCCTCCTACAGGTTTTTGGTGCTGTGCTGCTAGCTATACGACAGCACTGAGTGAAGTTTAAGTGTGTGTGTGTGTGTGTGTGTGTGTGTTAGTATATGTGAGTGTGTGAGTATGTGTGTGTGAGTGTGCGTTAGTTTGTGTATGTGTTTGTGTGTGTATGTTTATGTGTGCACTTTTTAGGTAAATAAGTCCATGGGCTTTTTCTTGGAAAGATGTTACATAAATCAAGTAAGAAATAATGAAAATAAGCCACTTTACAGCGAGCTAAAAATAAGATCTAAGATTCTGAAAGGATACCTAGACTTTATGTCTTATAAAACAGCCACGTGAGAGCTATACAGCAGAGTGACAATAAAGTATGTCAATAAACAAAGCTCTTTGCCCTACCCTTGTTAAGTAAATATACTTATCAATCCTGATAGGCTGAAAAGCTTCTTCCAGTTTAATTTGTATGAGGTCACTTGCTCTTAGCTTAACATATTCAGAAATAAAATACAATTAATTGACAGTTATATGAGGCCAATATAACTTTAATCTAGGAAGTATGATGGGATAAGTAAATGCCACTTCAAAAGTAAACTGTGCGTGCAGGACCTTCTTTCTGCTTTGAGAGAGTTTCTGCATGTCAGGAGTTTCTTTGAGACATTCAGAAAGTACGGTAAGCAGAGGAGAGAAATGGAGTATGGGCAATAGCTCACATGTATCTGATATTGAATCAGTGACTCAATTTTGTGCCTTGAAATAAATACCCCTTTAGTTCCTTTATTGTAACAATCTACCACAAGTTAAAAATCACTTAATCTATCAAACTACAACTAGTAATCGAAAAGAACATTAAGGGAGACATTTTTCAGGATAGTAAGGAATGGTAGTGGGATGTGCTCATGGCAGGATGTGAAAGAACACAAATGGACACCCTCCTCTTAGCCCCTCAGCTCTCCAGCCTGTGGGGTTCAGATCCATGCTAGCCAAGTTCAATGTTCCCAGCAGAAGAGATCTACAGGGATGGGAGGAGGAGAGGGAGAGCTGGGACACAAGGAATCACCAGGATTCCCTGATGGAAGCTCAGAGTTGTGGCTCCCTGATCCCTGCAGAAGTCTAGACCCACATCTAGATACACTGCCTCCTGGGCACTTACTGGACTTCTATGGTATTATCACTAAACACCATGCAGCCCCAGTAACTGCCTGCATATTACAGATTTTAGGAGAAAGCACCTGGCCTCCCCAAATGGAAGGAGCGGTGTGCAAATATCCATATTTTCTTTTCCCTGTATTCACTTGAGCTTCTGGTATCCAGTTCTTTCTGCATATCAATAACATTTTCTTCAAATGCAAAAACCGCCACCATCAACTTACTCTCCGGGTGAACTATAAGATCAGTTACATAAATGATTGACTACCTGCAATCCTGAATGCTAGTTGACACTCTCCTCATGGCATGTCTATGCCTTGTGACTAAAGATAAATAGCATAATGTTGAGCAATAGAAACAAGTTCCAACGGAACATATACTCTATGATACCATTTATATAAGTTTCTAAAGCACAAAGATACAACAGGGAAGGGAGTCATTCATAAGCATGAATATACAGAAACAACCCAAGAATGTCATACACAAACCTCAGGATGCTGATGATTTCTGGGGAGGGAGGTAAGGTAAAGAGATGAACAAGTAAGTCTTTAACTGGATAGCTAATATTTTATTTGTTTAGAAGAGAAAGAGATTAGAGAAAATATTGCAAATGGATAATAGCTATAACTATGGGGCTAAGTACATGGTTATCACATAATTTCCTGTATTTTCTTGTATATTTGAAATACTGCATAATTAAGAGTTCTAACACTAACAATAAGACTTGTCTTAGACATACTCTGCTCTCCAGTTGCACTGAGATGCTTGTTGTTTCCAAACACCATAATTATTCTGACTTATGTACCTATGATGGTTGACATTTTCTCTAGGCTTCAAGTAGTCAGTTTATTTCTAAAACCACCTAGCTGAGTTAAAAATCAAAAAAAGAAAATTTGACTTATCACAGACCTAAGAAGACCAACCAGCACTATCTCATCTATACACATTTTCCTTTATTTTATGATCTCTTACTATAAATTATCAAATTTTTAAAACACTCATGTAGCATGTGCATGTGCATGTGCGTGTATGTGTGTGTGTGTGTGTGTGTTTGTTTGTGTGGAGAGGGGTTAGTGGTAATACTTCACAGACTAAATGCAGATTTCTTAAATATTGCAAAGAATTTTAATCCACTTTCAACATTTTGGGCTTTGTTACCATGGAAATGGTATGACAAATTCAGCAACCTGATTTTATTTTCCCAGAGAGAAGGTAGATGATGAGGAAAAGGTACTTTATTTTAAACTAATTGAGTGGCCCAGTTCCCTGCCCTGGCCTTCCAGCATGACACTGAAAATATCTTGAAAGCAAGGTAAATCCAATAATTAACTTCACTTACCAAGTACTTGTTATGTATGCATATGTAAATATATTTATATGTGTGTGAAAAAGCCTAGTCTCTGTTAGTCAAGGCCTCATTTGGGTTACAAGCCTGGTGTTCATAAACTCATGGTGGGTATTGATCAGTGCTTGCGGTAGATTGTATTTTCCAAGATGGTGTGCAACATGGTGTCTGGTCCCACAGGCTCCTTTTAAAATGTGATGCTAACACTCCTCTCACTGAAAGGCGGAACCTTTATTCCCTCCTCTTGAATCTGGGAGTGTCTGTAGCTCTGGCACAAATGACATGTAACTTCTGAGTCCACATCACAGGAGATGATGTGGCTTCTGTCTGGCCCTCTTTGGAGGCTCACTCTTGTATCCAATCACAATGCTGGAAGGAAGCAAAGCTACTGCATGAAGAATCCACACGTAGAAGTTCTAGCCAATAGGTCTGGTCAAAAGTGAGTTGCCTGTCGAATTAGCTCCTGACTTTTGAGTTACCCGAGGTGATGCTAGCTGGAGCAGAGATATGTTGTTTCTGCTGAACTCTGCCCAAATTGCAGATTCGTGAGTAAAACATAGAAATCCATTCCTAGAGATCTGATATTCTTCTAGTTTCTTCCTCTTGCCACTGTTGGGATTTTTTGTCTTTCAGCTATGTGACACTAGGCTCCTGCTGGGAAGCTCAGACTGAATGGATCCAGTAGAAGCCATAAAAATATATATACAGAATGTCTAACTGCTACATGGCCGACAGAGAGATTGGAAATCTGAATTGTGTCCATTCTTGCGCCAGATAAAATTTTATAAGAATATGTAGGAATATGTAACGATGGCTTTAATTTTTCTTTTATGGTAGGCACTAGAACAATTTTATAACATGGTTGTTCTTGAGAGACTGTGTTTATTCATTTATTCATTAGTTATTAACTGAGCATCTTCCATGTGTTGTGCCTCACCCAGGTGCCATTTCTTCACTGGAAAACTCGAATCCAGAATTGAGTATTTTCCCCAAGGCCAAACGATTAATGAATGGCAAAATCTCAGGCATCTTAATTTCACGTCCACAGTTCTTTCTGTAATATCACCCAGATCGACACACATGGGACTGAGTTTATATACCTGTCACTAGCTCTGTGACATTGAACAAGCCACCATCTCACTGGGCTGCAGTTTTCATGTTTTTATAAAGAAAGGATGGAATTCTATCCTCCTTTTATTTATTCTTTAATCCAAGTTATAGTCTATCTCTGTGGTCATTTTGTACTCCATCAACCGATAAACTGGAACTACATTTCTCTGTATGGTTCTGGGTTAGAGTCGCCCACAGAGAAATTTCCATGAGATTTGGAGGGCAGAAGCATGCAACCACTGCACTAGGCAGGTGAGTACAGGGCATCAGGCTCTTGGCAGGTCGTGTACACGTTGATCATCAGCTGGCCCTTGGCTTTTGCAACACTTGCTGTTTCCCTGCCTCAGGTTGTCTGAGTCCTGGGCTGGGCCCACGTGCAGCTCTGCTGCAAGGACAGCAGCTTCTTCTGCAGGGCATTGGCATCTGGGGATGCCATGCACTGAGAGACAGAGGCATGTGACAGTCTGTCCCTGTGGGTTCCAGTTTGCTCTCATAGCTTCTACTTTGTCCTTGTTCTTTTCAACTTGCATCCAGCTTCCTCTTGATCATCTCTTGACCTGCCCCTTGATTACCTACTCTACTGACATACTCCAGATCTGGTCAGATGCAGAAGCAATGGCCTTCTCTAGACTTCTTCACCAGCTTTGCTCTGCTCAGCTAATCATCCCCTCTGAACATTAACTTCCCCATTTCCACCTACAATTGTATAAAATCAAATCCATATAACAACTCCCTTATTCTACACCACCCACAAGATTCAGCTTCCCTTATTAAACCCTGCCCAATCTAACCTTTAATATCATATCATTGAAGATCATGTAGAAGAACACAGTGAAGGACAAAAAATAGTAACAGTGTTCTTTTTTGGAGGCACTTAACCTATCAAGATTACTCAAATTCCATTTACTTCCTTCAATATAAACTTTTGTTGGTCCTGCTCATCTTCTTGGTGAACTTCCTAAAGTGTGCAGCCATTCTTTGGTAAAGCAACTCTGTGTACTTAAAATGGCTCACACTTTTTTAAACAAATATTTATCTATCTGTTCATTTATTTTAAATATATTTTTATTGATTTCAGAGAGGAAGGGAGAGGGAGAGAGGGATAGAAACATCAATGATGAGAGAGAATCATTGATTGGCTGCTTCCTGCACACCCTCTACTAGGGACTGAGCCTGCAACCCGGGCATGTGTCCTTGACTGGAATCGAACCAGGGACCCTTCAGTCTGTAGGCCACTGAGCCAAACTGACTAGTATTCACACTTTTTTTTAATGGACAAGTTGTTAGTCAACTCAGATAGGTCCTCAGGCTAAAACATAAT